TGATTGACTACGATGTCAACGTTCAATCAGCGCTCATTTGTTGTCATAGCGCATCGACCACAGGATCGTGTGTTGATGTAATTTTTGTTCAACTATTCATTACATTTCTGCGACGAAATTTGACAAGGACCCGGAGATTTTGGCGTGCTCTCCTTACAATCTGTAACGGAGAGATTTATTGGAGTTTTTTGGGACAGCTGCATTTTGTCTACGCGATTGATACTGGTGAGCGGTCGATTTCTATTATTTTGCTCAGTAAAGAGCAAGTTAGAATTTTATGTTGATTACGGACGATTTGGTCCGCGGGGATTGACGCCATATTCATTTTTTTGTTGATTTTTGGATGACGCTCGCCCCTTGTTCTGGAGAACCATTTTAACGCGGGTCCGATCCTTCAATTATTTTTTTGATTTAGTGAGAATACTTGATTAGTCTTTTCTGAGTTGAATTCAGTGATTCCGTTTTCTTCCATATTACAAGTATTCAACTTTCGTTTCGCCTACCGCTGTAGACTCTATGTCTTTTTCATCTATTTTTCTCAAGATATCAGTCTTATATTTTTACTATTTTTATTATTATCCCATTTATTTAGGCATTTTATCGGTCGAAGATATTCTTTTGAGTTAGATTCTTATTCCCGCCACTTTTTTTTTGTCACACCAGATTCTCGTGATAATTTCAGATTCCTTTACGGCAATTTTGACTCTTTGAAATTCTGACTAGTTACTTTATCTTTTGACTTTAATAGTGACTTTAGACAAATTTTGACTTTGACATTTATATTTGATTAGCATTTTATTGTTCGACAAATCATGGTTGGGGAAATAGTATTGTGCCGAGTTTAGTCGTCTGTTTATTTTGTTTTGTTATTTATGTTCGTAATTTTATCGAGAATCTGGGGCCGAGTATAATGAAGAATGAGACGCGGTTTTAGAATAGAATAGAATACTTTATTTCCTTGATATTACTTTTACAGTTTTACATCTACACAGGCCACCTTCTCTCATCCAATAAATTTCATTTTCTTACGTCTAATTTAGTTAACAGAGATAAAATAAATAGCAAAGATAAATAAGAAAACATGTCATATATATGTCCTCTATTCAGATTTAGTCTTCGAACTCCAGCCCGTATGTTGCCTTCTATCACAGGCTGTGCCTTGCTTTCGTTTTCATCCGTTTCTGTCCCGATCCTCCCAGGTATTATTCTCGCCGTTGTCCCTCAATACCTTCTCTATTCTGTCCAACCCCAGACAGAGCTTTACGTCCATCTCCTTTCTCAGGGCGTCTATCAGCTTCATTCTCCATCTTCTCGGATCCATGTCTCCTCTCCACCTTTTCCACCATTCTCTATCCTCTGTTTTCAATCTTCTCATTACTAGCTCACAGCTAATGGCGTGTTCTAGTGATTCGCTCGTTTTTTTACATGCCCGGCAGTTTGTGTTCATAAATTTTTCTTTTCCTTCTCTGATTGCATTTCCACACCTCCATCTTGCCCACGCCTCTTTCTGTCTAGATTTTACCTTAGTTCTGTGCCAGTAGTCTTCTATCTTTGGTTCTTCTTTAATTTGTACGTAGTAGCTACTAGTAGTCTTCTATCTTTGGTTCTTCTTTAATTTGTACGTAGTAGCTACTACGATAGAAGACTACTAGTAGCACTAGTAGTAGCTACTACGTACAAATTAAAGAAGAACCAAAGATAGAAGACTACTAGTAGCACTAGTAGTAGCTACTACGTACAAATTAAAGAAGAACCAAAGATAGAAGACTACTGGCACAGAACTAAGGTAAAATCTAGACAGAAAGAGGCGTGGGCAAGATGGAGGTGTGGAAATGCAATGTACAATATTTTGAGCCGTCTGCTTTCTCCCAATCGGCTTGTATTTCTTGGTCTGTGGCAGTCCTTTCCATCTCGGTCAGTCTTTTTTCAGCCTCTCTTAGCTCTCCTCCTTCATACAGCCATTTTATCACTTGTCCGTCTCCTACTTTTTCTGTTGCTTCCTTTAGGGTTTTGCCCCATCTGGTTGGTTTCCCATTTATTATGTTTCTCAGTTCTTCTTTTAGACATTTCTTTGGCCACCGGTTCTCTTCCATCGAGCTTAATTTTAATAGGAACGCTCCTGCTCTTCTCTTTCCCTCTATCTCTATACTTCGTTTGTTTGATTCCAGCCTCCAGATATATCCTGGTGTGTTTCTTGCCAGTCCCAGACAGGACTTAACATATCTGCTCTGGACTTTTTCTATAGCTTCTCTTCTTTCCTAGCCCCATAGTTCTGCTCCATACATTGCTACCGTTTTGACGGTTGAGTCCATAAAGTACATTCTTCGCTTCAGATTCGTGACCCCTGCTCTTCTGGTTTCGCCCCAGACTTTGTTTTCAGTTGTTGTGTTTTGCCTGCCGCCTTCTCTGTGTGTCTTGTATATCTGTTTGTAGGTGTGAACCAAAATCCTAGATATTTAAATTCATTTACCACCTTTATCATCTGTCCCTTGTAGGTCCAATTTTCCTTTTTCCGCTTGCCTCCATTTCTAAATACCATAATTTTTGTCTTCTCTACGCTTACCTCCATCAGATTTGTGTCTGACCATTTCTCTAGGTTGTCTAGCATCTTTTGCATTTCTTTTCCCTCTTCTGCTATCAGGGCTGCGTCGTCTGCGTATAGTAGCGCGAAGATTTTCGTGTTCGAGCCTGGTCCTATCCCTGTGCCGCCGTCCCCTCTTTTCCTCAATTCTGGTTCGAGGTCATTTATATATATATTGAAGATCATCGGGCTAAGTGGGCACCCCTGCCTCACCCCTTTATTTGTAATGAATGCTTCTGTCTTCTCTTGCCTTGCTAGCACTTCGTTATTTGTGCCCGAATATATTTCCTTCGTCATTTCCAGGAATCTTCCACTGATTCCTATTTGTTCCATTTTCTTCCATAGCCTCTCCCTGTTCACCTTGTTGAAGGCTGCCTTGTCATCTATGAATGCCACGTGTAATTTGCCTCTCTTCTGCTTCAGTTTATTGCCTATCAGCGTGTTCAGTATGAATACCGCTTCCGTCGTTCCTCTTCCTGGTCTGAATCCTGCTTGTGCTTCTGTTAACTTCCCCTCTTTCTCTACCTAGCTGCTTAGTCTTGATGCCATTATGCTCGCAAGTATTTTGTATCCTATATCTAGCAGTGAGATCCCCCTGTAGTTGCTAGCCTCATTCTCGTCACCTTTCAATTTAAATATTGGGAATATAGTTGCCATCCTTCATCTTCCTATCATTTGCCTTCTTCGCCAGATGTCTTGGATTAGTTGTATCAACTCTAATCTCCCTTCTTTCGGCATTCCTACTATAAATTCTGCTGTTATTTCATCTTCGCCTGCTGCCTTTCCTTTTTTTAACCGCCTCATCGCCATCGCTATTTCATTTTGTGTTAGCGGTCTATCTAGCTCATTGCTTCCCGCTGTTTCCTCTGCTGTCTCTACCTCTTCATCTCGGTCGTTTCGGTCTACCGGTGTGTGTCTGCCTTGCGTTTCGTATTTCCTACTTTGCACCTCTTCTTTTTCGTCTTGGGTCTTCTTCATCTCCTCTTTTTCTCCCTCTGCTCTCTCTTCCATTTTTATTCCTCGAAGCGTTTCCGCTGAAGATTCCTGCTCTTCATTGTCATTTTCCTTTTGTCCCACCCTGTCTAATTCCGCTTCTAGTAGTGTGCAGAAGTGGCTTAATAGTTTTTCTTTCGTCATTTTACCTGCCAGTATTGCCCTTTTCTTCTTCCTGTACCATGACATTGCTTTCCACCACTCTGTCAAATTCTTGCTTGTTCTTACTTCTTCCTGTTTTTCCTCTAGCCATCTCTTAATCAGCTTCTCTCTCAGTGCCGCTAGTTCCTTCCTGCGCGTTATGTATTCGGATTTGTTTTTCCAGTCCTGGGTTTTTCTAAATCTGTTAAGTTTCTTAAAGAGTTTTCTTCTCATAGTTCTGTATTCTCCATATTTATCCCAGGTCTCCTCTATTCCTGCTACTGGTCTTCCTGTAGATGTCATCCCTACTTTTCGTGCTACTTCTTCTATCGTTTCGACATTGCGTGCCCACTTCTCTTCCGGTTGAAGCTCCTCTTGTGTGTATTTGTTTTGCCATCGTTCTTCCCATTCTTTCTGAAAGTCGGCCGCTTTTCCCGGCTTTTCTGTTCACTTGTCTCTCCGTCCTCTCTGTCCTCCACTCAACTCTGTAGAAGACAGGGAGGTGGTCAGACCCTTCCTGTGCTGCTATATTCATGCCTTTGAACCATTCCGGCATTAGCTCTTGGTCTTCGGTCCTCGTTACTACGTGGTCTAGCACGCTTCCTAATCCTTCTCCTTCTGATATCGCTGTGATCTTGCCCTGTCTATCTCCTTTTGCTCTCCCATTCATTATCAGCATTGACCTCGTTTCAGACCACCTGAGCAGTGCCGTCCCATCTGGTTCTCTTAGTTTCTTGTCCTCTGATTGTCGATGTGGGTATGCTTCCCCTGTATCCTCCTGCCCACAGTCTGCCACTCCCTGTTCCTCGCCAATTCTGGCATTTAGGTCTCCAACCAGTATGAGTCTGGCTGATTCGCCTCCCAGTTCTTCTATCTCTTTATCTACTTCTTTGAGAAAATTTTTCATCTTCAGGTGATGATTGTTATATCCTGAAATCACTGTGTAACTGTGTTCTGGTGCTCTCTCGTTCTCTATCTGCACTTGTAGTCCGTATTCCCATTCTTTTATCTTCCATTTATCGCTTAGGTTCCTTTTTATCCCTATCAGATGCCCTCCTTGCGCTCTGCCTTGAACGTGCTTCCTAGCCTCTTCCTCCTTACCTTCCTCCTTCCTTCCTCCTTACCTTTCCACGTGTAATTCTTGTTCAGGCTATTGATTGTTCTTTCCAGCTCTTTTCCCTCTAAGAACGTCTCTTGGAACATCACTATGTCCGCATCTTGCCACATCTTCTCATTCTTCTTTATGTTACTGGCTCCTCGGGTTTTCCAGTGACGCAGCACCAGCTCATGGGAGCTGTCGTCCTCCTCTACCCCTCCCACGAAATGGCTGCTGTGGTGGTGGCGAGTACCTCAACTGTTCCGCCTCCTCTTCCTCTTCTCTGTATCCTTCGTTCGCCTTCTTTTTTTCCAGCTTCATTGTTCCTTCAGTTTCATCCCAGCATAGCCATGTGCCATCTACACATATCTTTTGATATTTTGTGCTCACCTCATGTCCCAGCCTTCTCCAGTTTTCTCCCTCCCTCTCTATCCATGTTTGGACTTCTTTTTGTCTATCCGTGAGGTCATCTGTTATCCAAACTCCCCACCTGAGTTTCTTCAGTTCCTGCTTCCTCGCCATTATCTCCGCTTTCGTCTCCCATTCTTCGAGTTCTGCTCTCCAAGTTCCGTTACCTACTCTGTCCAACTTGGAGACTCTAGCCTTCACTCCCATTGTCTCCTCCATCCATCGGTCTAACTCTTCTTTTTTTCTCTTTTCTATCAATGTGAGTCCTTTAATTATAATCCCCTTCTTTCTCTCTCTTCTTTTTATCTTTTCAGCGATCCATTCTTCTTCTTCCAATTTCCTAGGGGTAGGGTTCTTAGCGATCTTCCTTGTTTCCGTCTTCTGGGGGTTCTGTGGCTTGTGTCTCCTCTCGTCTTCCGCAGCGACCCCCGACCCTCCTGGCGCTGGAGCATCATGTGCCAGGGTCCTCGCTGCTTCTGACCGATCGAATTCCACTGCCGTTACTTCCCCCTCCTCTCCTATTTGTGTCACTGCCTCCTCATTTTCGCTCTGGGGGTTCTTTCTTTCTGTTTCCCCTTCTGTGTCTGTTCTTGAGTGTCCCCTTTCTGGCGTCCCTGGTGTGATCTCCCGGGCCTGCGGGACGATCCAGTTTTCCCTGGCCTCTTCTCTCACCATGCTACTCAATTTCTCATACTTTCTTTTCCACTCTCTCGCATATTCCACCCATTCTTCCATTAGTTTCTGATTGTTTGCCAACTGTCGCTCGAGCTTCTTGTTCTCGTCTTGCACCTCGGGGAGTTGCTTCCATACTCTCTTCATCTCCTCCTCTTTCTCCGCCAATTTTCCTTGCGCCTTCATACACTCTCTGCAGTCTATTTCAGTACCCCCTTTTGCACCCTTCCTCGTTTCCTCTTCTTCTTATCAGTTCCTCTAAGTCTGCCATCCTCGAGTTCCACTCTTCATTCCTCTTCTTCTTTTCTCTAGCCTCCCATTTCCTCAGTTCTTCGCTCACTTCCCGTGCCACGTCTTGTGCTATCTTCTTTGCCAGGTTCTCATCTATCTGTTTCCGTGGTTGATCCTCCCCCTCCTCCTCCTCGTCCTCGTCCCCCCTTCTCGGGGAAGGCGCGGTTTTATTATTACAGTTATTTAATTCAATGTAGTAACAATTCTTTTATTAAATGGTTATCATTTTATTTCGCAACCTGAATTATAATTTTTATTAGTTTCAACTTATGTCACAGTATATAAGACAAATATTCTATGCCATAGAATAAGAATCTATCTATAGTATTCAATACTTATGAAAATGATTGATATATCGAAAATGTTTGTCTTTAGTGAACTTCAAATATCTATTTGGTTTGAAACGGTTTTCAATCAAGTCCGAAGTTCATAATCTCTTTGTTAATTTTTTTATTTCAGTAAATTCATGGTGTAGAGTCTAAACTACACTAAACTGTAGACCGAATAGGCTATTCAAGAAATTAACAGTGACCTTCTCTGTGCGTGCATTTTTTTTAGTGGCATCTCCATTTTTCCTGTAACTTACTAAATTTTCTTGGAAATCGACGACATGCTTGGCATTTTCTTTTAATTCACTCCCTAGAATCCTCTCTAACAGAAAGTCTCAAAGCTCTACATATACTTGTTGCCTAGCTTTCAACTGTCTGTAAAAACAATCTAATGTGCCTGCATTTTTGCCACCAAAATTACGAACCATTGAAAATGCCTCCTTCAAGTCAAGGTGCTCCTTCTCGCATTCTCTGTTTTTCCAATAATTTTTTTTTTGTGTAGGAATTTTCAAAAGCTAGTTGAACTCATTTCTTTCCCGCTCGGCTTCTTCTCGGCAGATGCACGCCAGCCTCTAAGACTACTCTTCACTCTTCATTCAACGTCTGGAGTTACTGATTGATTAGGGTCAACTCGATGGGAAATATTTTTCCATTAATAAAATATTTCGTTTTCATTGGTAATTACTTGAATCTCTCGACGTCTTCGAGAAGATTATCTCGAGTAGTGAATTTTCGTTCTAATTGCAGGGACAATGTTCTCGATTACTCTATCTATCCCGTCCTCCATAATTAAGAATGATCGATTACTCATTCAATTTATAATGTTCACTCAAATTTTTTGTTAATGAATGGTTAATCAATAATCCGAGAGTATTAATCATTTGTATCTGATTGTTAATCAATAATCAGAAATAGAGAATTTTCGATGGATCAAGCAACTCATTTTCAAAGTACGATAATGACTGATCATCCAGGAGAATAGTAATCATCATCAAAATTTAGATCAACTACCTGATTAAGCAGTAATTGAAGTTCCAATAATTTCGATACACAATCGCGTAAGCAATCGATATTTTTCGTTGTGGATTTTTTTAAAACTCTATTAATCATTTTCTCCTTAATCCGAATACTTTGGACTTTTGGGGGTTGAATAAAGATTTAATGTGTTTAATCTACACAGAAAAAACAAAAATTTCAAAACACGATTATCAAATCAATTTCGCGACTTACTTGGAACATTGTATCATTACTTTTTACTGAAAATACAAATAATTGTTATTGTAAATGATTGCAAATGACAGCAAGGTAAGCGACCAGAGGGTGAGCACTACTGCAGTCCGGAATCATGATGTTTAAGTAGTTGAAGGGAGTCAAGGGTGACAGGGTGACAATATTAAGGCATGGCGCTTGCAGGCTGGAATCACCTAAAGAGAGCCGATGATCAAGACGATCAGCCTATCTAATCCTCAACCCGCGGTTTAACTAACGTAGTTCAAACAGGAGAGGCTGGAGGCTGGAGAGGCTGGATTTGAGCCGTTCTATTATCATTATTGTCATTATTTTTGTTATTCTCATTATGGAAAGTAATGCTGGAAACAAGTGCATCATTAATTTTGATTAAGAATAATAATATTATTATTAAGATTAATAAATATTATTGTTTCAAATCATAATTTCTTTATGCTGCAATGGTTAAATTGTGTCAATTTTAACTTTAGGTCCAATTCCTAGAGACGAGGGCTTCCTCTAAATCATCATCTGACCTACGGGCATGATCCAGTAACCGTTGCACATGATATCAAACAAAACTTAAAAAAAATATGACGGCTCATGCGCATAAAAAAAAATCTGAAAAAAGTCATCTTATTGGTAAATATCTAGAACAGTCCCCTTAAGAAATTAAATACCGAAAATGGATCAATCCTCATGTTTACATGAAGGATTAGACAACATGTACAAGGTAAAAAATCCTGTAAATTACGTTTTAGATCTCGTATTTTAAGTGTATTGTTCTCTGTTTTCCGTGGACTGCCATAGAATGTCCTATTAACTTTGTTGAATTCGACCACTTTCTGGGATGATGTCCTTATCCTTAGTTCCCCACAAAAGGAACTGATGGACTTTCATAAAAATCAATATCAACCTACAAGACTTCAATATCGCTTTGCTCCTGGCCAATTAAAAGCAGCACTCAATTCCGATTTTTTGCCATCATTCGAGATGAAAAACTGCACTATGAAAGCCAATTAGATAAAGTCGTAGAACTAAGGCTAAAGTCGATGAGCATCATTAAATATTAGAGATACTTGGTAAGGATAGGACTCTCAGGTACTGCTCGTTCTCTTCAGTCTTCAGTCATCATTCGATCCGTTATAGAATATGAGATTTTCGTATATATCTCATACAGAAATTGCAATGCATGTTCTCTAATAATAATAGGAAAATATGAATAAATACTCAATAAGGTATTGAATAATATATTGGCCAAATGATTCATACGTTAACATCAATGAAAAAATCTTCATCATACAGTTCATCATCATCATTATCATCGGAATCAAAATCCAAGTACATTGCATTGAAGTCAATCTCATCATCAGAATCTTCATCCTCGACCAATCCATGATGAAGCATTTTGTAACATTTGGACTGAGGATTTTGGTAATGGACGTACGGAGTCTCGTGATTCAATCGACTACCGCAGAGCCAGCAGAAGTACGTGTTGCAACGACCGCATGTCATCTTATTACAGCCATCGAATTTCTTTGGATATAAATGCAAATTTTTGAATTATAATTACATCCACTTCTACGAGTATCAGCCGAAAATTTAAGTATACATAATTCTGCGTTACTATCGAAATTGAAGATTGCATGAAAGTATGTCAGAAAATTTCTCGTATACACTCAGAAAAAAAATGCTCTGCTAAAAAGTTATGTCCTGGATTACCTGGACAACATTCTTCGGATTCAAGAAAATTGTTTCCCAAGAGGAAATTTAGCAATAAGATATGAATACACATCTTTTTGAGTCAAGTTCGACTACCCCAATATTAAAGTTAAAAAAAATAATGTGTTTGATTGAAAATCGAAATGTCTGTTTACAGTTGTCTCATTAGTGACAATATTAATTATAATATTCATTTGCTTTTCACCCATTACTCATTATTGAGCAGAAATTAAGAAAATTTGCCAGCTGATAAAAGTAATAATTTCAGAATATTAAATATTTAATGCACAGAACTTGTTAACGACTTTTCCGAAACTTTTTTTCGTTCAACGGAATGAAGTATTTGAATTACCATTCCAGAATCATTAAAACTCTACCCGAAAAAAAAATATTTTTAAGAAACGGATTATTCATTCATCTGCCACAAACTGAAGAGTGACTTCAGAAAGCCTCCACTATCAGGCGGATATATTTCGATATTTTTGAGTAGTACGAATATCTTTTCGGCAGAGTAAATTTTTTTCTCCCAGTGTAGTTCGTAGATTTAACTGTAGAAACACAATATATTCTACTCATAGATCTTCATGTTATAGATGACAAGCAATCGAATTCGTAGTTGTCCTTTTGAAAAATTAAAAGAGTATTAAATGAGATTACCTCAATTGCTGCATTACAGTGGGGACAATTATGACTATTGTTCGATATCCAGTTTTCTGACATGGTATTTTCAACCAGCATTTGCAATTGCTTCTTTCCATAACGATTTTCAAGCGCCAGTTTCTGGGCATCCGTTGCAGCCTCGTACTCACTGACAAGTCTTTGTTTGTCAGCTGCAAGATAATATTTGATTATTAACAAAAAAAAATTCTCTCAAAAGTGGAAATGGTATGGATTCACAAAATGTGAACCTTATCATGCTACTTCCCACCTTTCCCCGTGAGATACATACCTGCAGTAAATCTGCACGGTTCAATTCCATGATAAACCATTTTACAATTAACACAGAAAGTATATTGGCAGCTGGGACAACTAGCCATTTTTTCGTTTGGTTCTTTGCTCACTGGATACTGACAATCTCTCCTTGGACAATAGACAATATCCAACATGGTATCCAAAGTAGCACTCAATAGAATGGAATCATATTTAACAAATAATTCACTGCTTACTAATTCTTTAATCTGTAAAGTTTTAAGGGAGCGGATACTTTCAGTGGACCAAATTCATTTTATAATCGATTGGCAGAGGCAAAGTGACTATATTGCAGTATACTTAATGAGGAAACCGATCTTGCAATAGTTACATGTCTAAATATTATTTTCCAAAATATTACGCCAAAATATTATAATACACCACAGTGAAACACCTTGCGTTATCTTTGAATACTTTACACAATCTCACTATTGATTTCTACTATCTATTATCATTCATTACTATTATCAGTGGCTATCATTAATAATTTATTTGTATGGGAGAAGCGAACTGTTAAGGATGGTCCACACTTCCCCCCAAAATTCATATTTTTTTCGTTTCTCTGGTAAACTTACGATGGCCTTGACGTGAAAAAATATAACGTTTATGTGTCCCATAATTAATTAATGACTCCTAAAGTTTCAAGGTGGTGTGATCATTGTCATGCATTTTTTCAGCAATTTTGTGATTCCCTTTAAAAGTTTGGAAAAAACGCTGGAAAATATTCGCATCGCCTTGAAACTTCGCGAGTCATTAAATAATTACAAAACGCAAAATAGTTTCAGACGGGTTATGTGGGCCAATGATAATATAATAGTTCAACGTAATATTTTTATAGTTAATAATATAAGTTTCACTAATATCGAGACTTGTTAGCATTGCAATCCTTGCCAAACGGTGCTAAATAAAAAAGCAATCGTTGGCAAAAAAACAATCGTTTTCTGGTCTGCTAGCAACAGATTATTGATTAGTGATTCTTTGATTTACCTGTCCCGGAGTCACCTCAGAGGTGCACTTTTCCCCAGGACAGCAAATATTTTGCACAGCCCCATCCTCAATTCTGACCTCCAAATATCCAGTCATACATTCTTTACAGAATACATGAAGACATGGTTTAAACTGTATGCACGATTCTCCGGATTTGTCCGCGAAGCAAATTTTACAAGTGTAAAAATTCTTCTTAAACTCAATGCTTATACGTCTCTCATTGTAATCTAGTAAATAATGTACAGGATTTTTATTAATAGGTCGATCAACTATTGCTCTATGATCGAATTTTCGATTGCCTCGGTGTCCTCTGTAATTCCGCTTTTGCATCATTTTATTTTTCATTGATTTCTTCGCTTTATCTATGTCACTAGCACTGCTGGCATTAGCTACTCCTGTTTTTTGCGCTTTCTCTGATGCTGTTTTATACAATGTGTACGTGGAATCAATATTCAAATTGTTCTCTATATCCAAGTACTTGAGGGTCTCATCTTGTAGGAATGCAATCCAGGTGAATAATATCTCCTGTCCCTCGTTCTCTTTCCAGAGTTTATCTAATTTTTTACACAGTTTTGTAATGTCTTTGAGACGTAACCAAGAACAGCAAAGTGTGAATTCTGAAGGTGGCTGGGAGGGATATTCTCGTGGAAGAGGAACGAATAAAGTCAATGGAGGCAAGTGACAAACTGTTATCTTTTCATCAGCTGATTCTTTCTGACGCGTATCTTTATAAGAAACCCAATATCCTTCTCGAAGATTTATGAAAACTTTGAAAGTACATTGGTATTGACCGTTGATTTCTTGGTGAGAAAATTCTTCAGCTGTATAAATACTTTCAAGTGCTGTTATTTCATCTTTCTGTTTTTCGTTGTCCATTTTTCTGGAAGAAATCTAATTTTACTCATTAAATCAATTATTAAGGTCCGCATGCATAAGGTATTAACTAGCGAGCGTAAGCTTTGGTTTGAAGTTTATCTTGTTAGCCTACTCTAGCTAAGGCATTTCTAATTTTGACTTTCAAATTGTTTTGAAAAAAAAAATAATGATAAAACGAGGAATTTGGCTCTATTAATTACTTGGTTTTCTCATAAAATCCCTGAAAGCCAATTACCTATAATAATATGGCAGCGGAATCAGAAAAATCTTGTAACGTAGTATTTGATAGAGTTCAATAACAAGGCAAACACATTTGTTATTAATTTCTTTAATTAAAAATCCCCGCTATAGAAAATTTGTTAGGAGAAAAAGGAAATGATAATATTGGAAATGCACAATTTTTGACTTATTCGCGACCATTCGGCATTGTATATCAGAAAATATGTTTTCGCATTTTACTCACCAATGCTTCTTGGAAATGTCAGCGAGGTTAGTTCGAATCGCCGATCTCGGAGCAGCGACCAGTTATAATTATTTACGTCGAGAATGAGCCCATCAATTTGAAAATAATTAGACACAAGCAGCCAACTTGACTATAAAATCATTAAATAATTTGTTTGTTCTTTTGATATTGTAATTCAATGCCTGGAGGTCACAATTCTTAACAATAACCAGACATTAGTTACGAGTGGGGAGGGCGATGAAGGTAACGAGACACCTGATCGATCAGCTGATTCGAAATATTATCATTCTGCTCCCTCTAATATCTCTGGAGGAAGTGGAAAAAACAAACGCTCTGATAATTCAAACGAGTTATTATTGAAATTGGGGGATTGCGCAATTTGACAATTTATTCAGCTACAGTGATAAGATGTTAATACTCCTTAAATACAAGTGGTTCTAGTCTATTTTGTTTCTGTTTATGCGGCCACGTCACGTCAAAGATAGCACAGTCCCGGCTTTTTTTCATTTAATGCATTTGGAATATCAATATATTGTTGAATAAAAAATGGTTGAAAGGGCTGACGGCGAGACACAAGTGGATTTTCCACTTTTTGTCAATTTATTTCTGTCTGTTTGTGGATATTTCATCACAGTGAGATTAATTCCAAGGGTTGGTGAAGTTTTTCTACAAAAAACTAACCTCTGGGGTGTCGACATGAATAAGAAAAACGGACGAAAAATGTAAGTATTTATAAAGATGTAAAGATTTAATAGTCAAAATAATTCATTGATGATTCTTATATTTTAGCCCTGAAGCCCTAGGAGTTGTCAGTGGGTTTGTGTTTCTCTTCATCATGTTTCTTTTTATACCAATACCTTTCACCAAATACATCTCAGACAATTCTAATTTTCCCCATCACGAGGTAAATTTAAAAAAAAATAAGATTTACTTTAACTCACGTATTAATTGAAATTGAATGACACAGTGCAATTAACCAAATATGCTACTTTTATTAATATCTTAAAAATAAATAATTACATTTTTCCATTTTACAATTTCACTGTATTTTAATAATATGGGTTTCTTTTAATAAATTGTGGTGAAAATGTATTTTTCAGCTTGTTGAACTGTTGGCGGCTCTTCTATCAATCTGCTGGGTGGTCATTCTTGGATTTGTCGATGATGTTTGTGATCTCAAGTGGAGGCATAAACTTTTATTAACGACAGTGGTATCCTTACCTCTTCTCATGGTTTACTACGTGAATTGCAATGCAACTCTCATCATAATACCAAAACCATTAAGACCCTGGTTAGGTTTATCCGTGGAACTTTCATTATTTTATTATATGTACATGGCTATGTTGGCAGTATTTTGTACAAATGCCATCAACATTCTAGCCGGTATAAATGGCCTAGAAGTTGGACAGAGTCTTGTTATTGCAGTTAGCATTATAATATTCAACTGGATTGAATTGAGTGGTAATTTATGGAAGGCCCATCAGTTTTCACTATATTTGATGATACCATACGTAACAACATCAGTTGCTCTCTTTCAATACAATTGGTAAGTAAAAAAAACATTTTTTATGACAAATTCAGGTGATATAGAGTATTGTCTCCAGTAAAAATAATGACAGTTTCTATTTTCATGAAATGTTTCACTAAGGCGCCCCTTAACAACGCTCATTACAAATTTTTATGCATTCACTCTCCACATGAGTTCCAAATAATGAAAAAAAAATCTGCCTAAGACTTTAGATCATAATCTCGAGTTCAAACTCTCCATGTAAACATTAAAATTCACTCCATTTGAAAAGCAGTGAAACTTATATATATCCACAGACATCCACACACATTTGTTCAGAGCTAGTTTGCAAGAACATGATGGAAGTTCAGTTGAGAAGATAATTATATCCTTTATAATTAATCTTTTAATTTTGGGTTTCAATTTTGTACTGTAGTGATCGAAAATGACAAATCGTTTTTGTATTTTTGTCAAGTGTGTGATTATATCGATGAAAAATTGTTTTTTCACAATTGTCTCAAGGATCATTCATTTTTTGAGAAAATGTCATGCAACCTTTTTTGTAGAAAATCTTATCAACTACAAAGTTTTTTTGACATTTGATTGCAGGAGTGGTCATTAACGAGATAAATGAATAGTCATTACATTTGACTTTGATAAGATCTATTTTTTAATGATTATCTCGAGAATTTGACCGAGTTTACATGTGAAATAATGGCTTTTCAGTGTTAAAACATCTATGATAATAAATTTCAATATTAATAAGGATTTTCCATTATTTTATAATATACATTTCCCAAATGAAGGGTTCATTCGCATCTCGTTAATGAATGATTTTTCATCGAAATAATCACTAAATCGATAAAATTAGCAAAATGAATTGTCATAATCCAACACCATAGTTATCTTCACGATTCAATCCTCACCAATTTTTTGTGAATTTCATATGTTCAGATCGTGAAAATATGGAAATTTCAATGGTTTTAAATGGGAAAATTTGGCTATTTATAGGCACGGTTCCGACTTGAGATTGAGCGCTGAAATTAAACAAGACCAGATTTTGAAAAGAATTATTTGAGATTGATGTGGGGGTTGAACGTTTGACAATTGGTGGAGGGCATTGTTAAGCGGCGCCGTGATGTTTAACGCTTCTCACTCTTTCACTTCGACAAACTTTAATTCTTTCTAGATTTATATAAATTATTTAACATTCATACTTTGGTAGACAATCCTTGTATATAAATTCGATCAATAGTTCACACGCTACATATTGATTTTCGATAACTTATAACTACTTGAATAAATATCACAGACATTTGATGCTAGATGATCATCAATAATAATCAAGTTTAGCGTAGAAATTATCGACTAACCAGTCAAACTTGAAACTGTTGTCGATAACAGTTTCCGGCGCAAAGTACGATTCTTTAGTTTTATAAGCTCTAATAAGGCTCATTTTATCATCGAACCAGACACCAGTGCCGATTAAATCCTCCACAAATAGTACGTCCATGTTCTTAGCATACTTGGCTTCTTTAGGTTTGCCATCTTTCTTCAGAGCAATCATAATATTTGCCGGTGTTTCGCAGTAATTACAATACCATCCCCCATAATGATTGAGATCCCCAATAACTAAGCCGAGAACATCCCTCTCATTTGTCTCTCCCAATTCACGCTGAAGAAAAATGCTATTTGTCCTGTAAGATTGATATATACATCCGACAGTGCATGCACCAACGGTTATGATTGTTTTGGAGGGATGCTGCCAGAAGAATCCAAAAACCGACCATCTTAGACGAAAGCCTATCGGCTGAGGCCAACCATCGTATACCTTGAGGAACATTAATGCACGCCAGTTTAATATCTGCTCAGGTCCACTCATCACATAAATATCATCCTCTTTCATATTCTTCACAACATTGATTATTTTATCCCAAACGTATTTCGATATCACTCGCAAAGGTTTTCGTGACTTATGAGCTGCATTTATGTATAACATCTTATGCTGGTGGTTCGATAACAATCCCTTGTTCAATTTATGCTGCAAGTTATCCTCTGCTCCGCTAAAGTCACAAATTACAAACAAATCCACAACGTGATGGAGTTCTTCTACGATGACCTCGGCTATTGCTGAGTTGTAATCTTGCACTGAGAATGTATAAATTAGTCGGCGAGAGGTTTTTCTTGGTTTCAGTCTGATATTTTGTTTCGAAGCCATTATCGCCCTCCAGACAACTTCTGGCTGGCCACAGTCTGGCCCATGCCAACCAGACTGACAGTGACATTTATTGGAAAATGTGTGGGATTTGTTGAAGATGATGCCTTCCTTCCAACATCTCGTTGTATTCTGAGTGATGAAGAAGCTTGACGTTTTCGTATCCTTTAGTTTTAACTCGCTTGTTATAATCTGATAGGCAGGATGTGAGATTGAAGGCTTGGATGTACGATTTTCAAATTTTTGAGGAATCTGAAATTATTTGACTGATAAAAACGAAATTCATTGATTGATTACGTTACCATTGTTAAGTGTAATTTTTTGCTATTTCATACATAAGCTGGTTCCATTCTCACGAAACTGACAGGATTTCGTGGTGTAAGCTGTGTGTATTCACTGGGGGGTGTTGCTATAACGTAGATCATTACGATGAATACTTGAAGGACGAGCAATGTATAGAGCAACACCAATTTACCGTCGAGCCGGTTCTGCATGGCAATTTCTTCTTCTTTTCAAGTCGTATCGGTTATTTGGCTTTGGTTGAATTCAATCACATTCTCCTCCCTTTCAGATCTCTTCACATGGTAGTGATGTCATCTTAATCATATAAATATTAAAATTAATATCAGCGGTTCACCGCTTACACTGAGAAAGATCATTTTTTTTCGAGTGCCTCTCCACTTTTATGAAGAAATACCAAAATACTAAAAAATTCTCAAGAAGACAATATCTTATACTGAGAGAAGAAATTTTAATTCCTGACGAATTAGAACACGATTTCATTAAAATCTTTGGGATAAGAAAAATAAAAACTAGTGATTAAATTCACTTAGTTAGACTTGGCTTGAGGAATCACATTTTTATTATAAATAAATGATCATCATCTTCAGAACAAGTGCATAATTTCTGGACAGAAGTTTTTCTTTTCCTAGAGTAAGATATGATTTTCTCATCAATTTTCGTCTCATGAGTTTGTTGATAAAATTAGTGATGCACTTCTTAAGAAATTTTGTTTTTCCAATGTAATCCTTATATGAAGCGATTGGATGCTAATTTGTCAAATGAATTTTTTTACCAGAAAAACACTGAATTTAGCAATAGGTGAAACTTCACTGGAGCGTTATCGATTTTGAAGTACCGAACGAAGTTGCCATGCTCAGAAGTTGAAGTCACATCGTCGGGCTTATCCCAGACTCAAAAAAAAAATCTCAATGCCGCAATCTTGCTTGATACTGAAATAAAAAAAATTTCAATGGCATAAATTGATATGGGCCTTTTAAAGTTACACACAGCAAAAGGAGACTAACTGATAGCCGTGACGTCATTGGGGTCACCGGCTGAATGAGCCAGCGGCCCTTAATAAGATAACACATATATATAAATATTCTAGATAATCACTCACCGGTATTATTTTCTCTCTCTATCCAGTGCTCGAATTTCACTCGTCACATGCTCACACAACATCCTCATGTTCCAACAGCAAAGGAAGCATGTTTCAAGTTAGAAAATTCTTCAGTCTTCAACATCGAGTCATAGCACATTTGATGTTGGGAAGGAAATCCTCGTGGTAGGGTGTCTTCTCGGGTAGTGACAAAAATTACAAACCACACCCGAAACGCATTCGCCTCCGCGAGGGTCTGAAACATCACGGTAATATATATTCCAAGCATGACAGGCGCCTTCGTCATTCAACAACGAGCGCATGCGTTTTACCTTCTCTATTTTACACTGTATGACAACGCAACACAAGCCACACAACTAATGGACCAAACTAAAATATTCGACGATTCCCATCTTCCGAGAGAAATTTGTAATATTTTTTTCAATACCTTATTGAGTCCATAAGGATATAAATCCATTTCTCGTACATGGGGGCTTATGGAGATTTCTCGATTTAGCACAAAATAATCCTGGCAGTTGTCCATAAGAGTCCATCTGGAAGAGAAGACAATTCATGTACAATTCTGCTATACTTATCAAAAAAACTTCATCTTTTACGTTTTTCGAATCGAACACTTGAAGTAATCTTGTCGTGGAGTATTTTAATGAATGGGGTTTATGCCAAGCATGATGGAGACTCGATAAAATCCACAGATGTTCTGGGAACTGTTGTACTTTATAGTTTAACTGTTAAAGTCTAAGGTCTTCTCGTTGAATCACGTGTCTGCGGTTCTGTTGGGACAATGTGCTCAAGGACGGCAGGTGTGCCAGACAGGTGGTATGGACCTCAGTGAATGGGTCCTCCAAAATTCTCTTCGTCCCACCTTCAATATTGCACATGCAGAAATCAATGGCGAAGTGGTAAAACCGATCGAGTCGATTTTTTTCGAAAATGCGTCTATCACTTATAAACCTTCAGCACCACGAGAGCTCCGAAATTATCGAATATTTTCCAATTTGTTACTTTGCACTATTCTACTTGCGTAAATCGACTGATAATTTCACTCCACTGCAAACCAAATTATTTTTTTCAATTACCTATGAATTTAGCAAGTTATTCAGTCTTTTCAGACAGTAGCTGTTCGCTCGAGTCTTTTATAAAAATCTCCTATTAATTTTAATTATTACCATTAAATAAATTGGCCTAGAAACAGAAAATTGTCATGTTAATTATTAACGTTATCTTATGTTATTGGGCATATCTTATGTGACTGCTTAAAAAAAGAGATAATGTTGGAGAATTTTTTGAGGAGAAGCACTGCATACAATGGTTTCAATTTTTTAGGACATTAGGACGAAATCGAAAAGCGCGCAGGACGTGTCCGCTGTTAGAAATGCCTTTTTAAAATTTACTCTAAAACTTTCTACACTAAACTTTTTAAAACAGGAATTTATTGTTCAACTATTAATTGCATTGGTCAGCAATACACAGCAGAATGTCATCAATGTGTCAATAGTTTTCATTTGTTCTGATAATTTTTTAATGAAATAAAAAAATGAATCTGAAACTTACATTGAAATTTATAAAAACGTCTATCATTGTCAAAAACACTAACATTTCTGGAAGATGTTTAATAATAAATAATTTCATTAAGATATTCGTAACCAATACATTATGAAGATCTTCAGAATAAACATAAACTTATTTTATTGTAGGTATCCGTCGAGAGTCTTCGTGGGAGATACTTTTTGTTATTTCTCGGGAATGACGTTTGCAGTTGTTGGAATCATTGGACATTTTAGTAAAACTCTTTTGCTGTTCTTCATCCCACAGATAATTAATTTTCTGTACAGTATTCCTCAGTTGTTCCATTTTGTAGCGTGTCCTAGGCATCGATTACCCAAGTGAGTTGAGTATTAGTCAAATAATAAGATGATTTCTCTTCAAATGAACAATTATTCTAATTTTGTTCTTTCTTCTTCTTCTATTTAAGATTTAATCCAATAAGGGAAAAATTAGATCCCAGCGTCACCACGTTTCACAAATCTGAGCTCAATATCATTGGTAGACTGATAATGGGCCTTTTTCGAGGAATGAAAATCGTACGGTGGAATGAAGATAATGATGGCGTAGTCACTTGCAACAATCTTACGTTGATTAATTTCATTCTTATAATGATTGGACCAACGGAGGAGCATAAATTAACGAAGATTCTTTTATACATTCAGGTATTTAATGTTAATTCTCATTTTTCCACTATATTGACAATTCATTTTCCGCCTATAATCTTGCGAATTTGTTTTCGAAATATTCATGAAGCCGATTTTTTTTTGTCTGACCGAATCAAATATTACTTCACAATTCTAGGAAATTTATATTTTTTCATTATCTTCTGTACTCTTCATACTTATTTTCTTTTTTATCATTTGATTGATTGCACTGTGTCAATGATTCTCTAAACGATTTTTGTTTGTAATTTGCAGGCTGCATGTTCACTTTTGGCGTTTTTTATCCGATATCCTTTAGCTTCCATCTTCTACGACGTATAGAAAGCGACAAAACATCATCACAAGACTGAAAAATTTCAGCTATGAACAGGTAAAAATTCAAAACTCAACCAAGCATCATCACAAAAAAGTCAAATAGTACATTTCGATACAATTGGGGAAAAATGTTTTTAGGCTCGTGGGTTTATATCACTCGCTTTCGACTCGTGGTATAAACCTACCAGAGGCCCAAAAACACTTACCCGCAATTGTGTTGACATATACTACTGCAAGACTAGGTCATAAGAAACTATTCTGGTGAATATAAGGCTATAGGAAGCGTTAAAGAAGAGTTATGTAACCATATGAGATAGAACATGATGGCCAGACTGAATTATGAAGAATATCTTATAAAAAATTTCCTTGAGATATTTTTGAAGCGACTAAGGGATCAAGACTCTCTGCTTAAGACTGCCTTACAATTTACAATGATATCCCTCTTTTCCCTTGACTCAGAGAAATCAATAGTTCAGTGCTAATTATTCGTGGAGTCTCTATAATGGACACCTACCTAAAAATCATTTTTTTTCACGGCTCAAGAATTCTAAAACTGTAAGGCAATTCAAATTCTTCTGGAATACGAAAAGGAAATTAAGTAGGCAGGGTTTCACAATTATCAATCACTAGACAAATTGTTTCAGGTGCTTATGTACTTGAATACGGGATAACATAATTTTACAACCTATCATAACATAATTTTATAGAGCTCTTTCACTCTGCGATGCAATAGAAAGTAAAAATAAAATACTATCAATAACAATAGAGAAAAAAAAATAACGTCTACGATTTCCTACGGAACTTCCGTGGTAGGCTCTAGCATTGATTCCTTCAATGTTTACCACCCAAAAACATTATGATTCTGAAGTACATTTCTCATGAATCACGATTCCTGTGGCTAGGAAGAGTGAAACTGGAGTAATGCGTTTTGTATACATATACAATATTATGAGTCAAGTATTTGGATTCTCAATTCAGTCTGTATGAGCGTCATTCCTTAACGTGAAAATCTCTGTACAAATAACGATTTCAAGTATTTTCCCAAGAAATCGATGTAGATAATCGTGTAAAGACTTTCGAGAGAAATTGCCGAATGTCTGAAAGCATTAGTTGTAAAGATTTTAACATTAACGCACTTGTTTGTGGATTCATAAACTTACTACGGAAATTCTGTAACATTACAAGTTTCACACAACACAATTTTTTCGCATTTCAACTGTCATATATTTAATTTATCAGCATGTTTCAGATTATGTACTAAATTAAATGCAATAATTGCTCACAATCAAATCGCTTGAGATAACATGCGAATGTTTATGCAATTTGGACTGAATGGCGAGAAGAATTAATCCAGGCACTTTACCAATTCAGTAGAAATAATCATGGTAAAGGATTTAGTTTTTAGGTAAATTTGGAAAATATTACCAATTATTTGAATTTCATTGGAGTTTTTTTTATTCGCGAGGCTCCCATATTTATTTCAGTAATGATTAAATTGACAGAAAATATTGGTGTATCACGAATCAAACAATAATGTAAAAGTTATAATTTTTAAAACTTTGCTACTTTTTAATTTACAATGTGTCCTTGAGAAGTTGATTACGACATGTTTGGAATTCCAAAGATAAAATCAGCACCTAATCTTTCACCGATTTTCAACTGGGCCTTTGCAGCATCTTGGAGACTGAATATATGGGTTAATTCCAGAGCCGTTCGAGCTAATGATAAAGCTTTGTCGAATAATTTGATGGCTTCTTTGAGGTTGCCTCTGAAATGTTGAGGAAGACATTATGAAAATCTGTTACGAGAAATTAAATGAGAAAGTAAAGTAGTAAAATAGCAGACAAAATCATTTTGCGATTCTTTAAATAATCCCATTACTTTTTGCATAACTGCGCAATTTTGCTGCAGTCAAAGTATTAGGGGACACACAATCGAAATAATTTACAGTCGAATGAAGTATTTCAAATGAAGTGTTTCACTGCTCTATTCCTCAATTATCTCTCTAAAGCGGTAAATATTTTACCTTTGGACTTCGATCGTTCCTAAAGTTTCATATCCAAATTCACATTTGTCATCCAACTCTAGGGCTTTATTGATATATTCCATAGCTTTGATAACATTTCCACACCACTGGAGTTGCAGTAGTCCCCTATGTACGTAGATTGTCGCATTTTTTGGGTCCTTTTCAATGGCTTTCGAGAAGTATTCGTCGGCCTTTTCGTACGACTGTGCATCGCATAGCATCTGAAATTTTTTTAAAATGTACTAACTAATTATTTTTTATTCAATAATATTCGGGCACAATAAGAATGTTTTTATCAATTTCTCTTTATTCTCTCTTCGTGCAAACGATTTATGAATTTTAACCAAATACCTGCAGGTGTTTCTATACTTTGCGATGTGTGGAATCTCTTAACCGTTCTAGGTTGAGAAAATATTTCTAATTCACGCGAGTTTTGTGGCGTTCAGTGATAATTGGGGATTGTTGAAATATTGTGTCAAGAAAAGAGGTTATAAGTACGTATATGAGAAAGGGATATTGCAAAGCCCTGAAGGGTTG